ACAGCATCTGATGGGCAAACTGAAACAGCTGGGATTCAATACAGAGAACACCTCTGATGTCATCACCCTAAGCACAGGCTCCCCTCAGGGCTGCGTCCTGACCCCCCTTCTGTTCACCCTGATGAAACATGACTGCGTCCCCAGGTTCACCACTAATCACATGGTGAAGTTTGCAGACGACACCACGGTAGTGGGCCTCATCAGTGATGACAACGACCTGGACTACAGAGAGGAGATGGAGCAGCTGGTGGACTGGTGCAAAGATAACAGCCTGATCCTGAAGAAGATGAAGGAGATCATCTTGGACTTCAGGAAGGGCATGTACTTCTTGCGGAGGATGAGGAAAGCCACCTGCCCCCACCCATCCTCACCACCTTCTACAGAAGCACCATAGAGAGCGTTCTGACCAGCTGTCTTACTGTGTGGTGTGGAGGCTGCAGCGCCTCAGACTGGAAGAAAGTGAGAAAAGTGGTGAGAACAGCAGAGAGGATCATCGGGGCTCCTCTTCCCTCCATTAATGACATTTCATCCCAGCGCTGCATGTCCAAAGCCCGTAACATCATCAATGACCCCTCACACCCCCACCATGGACTGTTCTCCCTGCTGCCCTCTGGGACCTGCTGGACCTGCATCCGATGCAGGTCCAGCAGATTCCACAACAGTTTCTTCCCCACTGCCATTAGACTGCTTAATGTTGTGTAAAATGGGTTATTTTCTTTATAAAAAAAAGAAATGAATGTTAAAACTGTAAATATACAGTCATATGTGTATATTACTATTTTTTATGTATTTATTACTGTTTTCAAGCTGCACTTTAAAAAATGAAATTGTCTAGAGCTGTTTTAAACAGATTTTTTTTTTTTTTTTTTATACACTCGTGTATACAAAACCACCAACAGACCAATATGAAGGATGGAGGATCTTAACCTGATCATGAAGCTCAGCTGATGTAAAAAACACCCTTAACAGTTTCTGATACAGACCCAGAAACCTCCACTAACCATGGAGCTTCACATTGTTCTCCTCAGATCAAGGAAGTCAGGAGTTAATAGAAACATTTTAACCAACATGATAAAGAATCGTCCCTGATAGTTATACACCGTATAGCTCTGAAAACTATTAACTCACCCTCTGCCTGGTTTTCTTGGTTCTTTCCCAGTTTGTCCACAAATGGACGCAGCAGGTTCTGGACACCAGGGTCGTTCCTTGGTATTTCCTTCATTGCTTCATTGACCAAGGAGATGGATCCCTCTACGCCAAATCTCTGAAAGAGTTCCTCAGGAAGTTCCCTCTTAAACTTGGCAGTTATTCTTTTCTGTGAGGGACCTTGATTTTTCTCATAGAATTCCACCATCTTCTTGTACTGAGATCTCTCCAGCTTTCTGAAGATCGTGGTCATGTTGTGTTTCCACACATCTTCTGAGATGTTTGACATCTGTGGAGAAAGAAGAAAATGCCACTAAAATGGACAGATTAAGATAAATTCATCAAATAAGGAAATCATCCCTGGCCAGGTGAAGAAGGGGTCCTGGCGGTGCTGCAGCAACCCCTAGTGGTGAGAGGGAGATTTTTTAAAAATGGATTAAAATTACTTTGCACAATTTATA